CTGTAGAATACCGTGCATTTAAGAACTTGCCTCAGTTCAACGGGTTAGGATCATTACATTCTCTAGGTCGAAGTGGTCTTGGTCTTCGTGAATGAAAACCAGTGAATGCGGGTCGTGTCTCCGTATGGCCATTTTGTGTTCGTTGACCCGTGTTTAAAGTTTCTTTTCAGTTTGCCTGATGTAGTGTTTGTCGCACTCTGCAGTTTATTTTGTAGACGACATCATTCTAACTGCCTTATTTGACTTTGTCTTCCGGCTTTGAAAGCAGTCCTCTCACAGTACCAGTTGGTTTGTGGGCTACTAAGATTCCATGTGGTCGTAGCAATCTCGATTTTAGTTCAGACGTGCTTGATGTAAGGAAGCGCTACCTGTTTAGCTATGTTTTCCCGTTGTTGTTATGGTTGAGGCAGGTTTTCCTTTAAGCTTCTTCTGATGCAATGGCTTGGATACCCGTTGTTTTGCAATACCCAGTGTAGATGGTTCTCTTCCTTCTTCCTCAATTCTGTTGTGCTGCAGTGTGTTCCGGCCTTGCTGAAAAGGCTTTGAATGCAGCTATTTTGTGGTTCAGTGGATGGTTGCTGTGGTAGTTTAAACTTTGGTTTGTGTGGGCTTCATTCGATATGCATATGTTTGAAGCGTTCCGTCAGTGTTTCTGTGGACCAGGACCAGTACATCAAAAAATGGCAATTGGTTGTCCATTTCGTGTTCAGTGGTAAGGTTGATATCCTGGAATGTGGTGTTGATTAGCTCAGGGGTATTTAGTATGGAACCTCGTTTGATGATGACAAACGTGTCGTGCATACTTGCGGGGATTCGGGACGAAAGTGCACGGGAAAATTGTTATCTTTGAAAGTGGGAGAACGCTTGTTTAATGGTCCCCCAGTTATGTGAATTCACTGCCTATCCAATCGTCGATGCTGTTCACGCAGTTGCTAAACCACAGACTTTAGGTGAACCTAGAAGACAGTTCGTATGCTAACGCTGTGGGATGCAACATGCCCGTGCTTCTGAGTGTCGCCACAAAGAAAGCCTCTTTCGAAAATGTGGCAAAATAGGCCACCTAGCCCGCATGTGCAGATCGGAACCTGCCCCACTGAGTAATCTTACTCAACCGAGGCGCCACTATAAGCTGCCGCTTGCGGAGAAAAACATGCTGGAAGACGCAAAAAACGATCCAAATTTGGTCTACTTGAATACCGTATCATCTAACAAGTGCCCTCCACATAAGATTCTTTTGATGATCGAGAGTGTGAACAGATCGATTCGGAACTAGATACGGGGACTGCAGTTACCATTAAAAACGGTGCTTTAATCAAGAGCCTGCCACCCTTACAACCTTGTGACTCCAAATTGCAAACCTACAATAGAGATCCGAGTAGGGTCTTGGGAGTGTTTGGTTAAAGTCAGGCGCGGCGAGCGGGAATTAACTCTACCTTTGGTCGTGGTGCCTGGAGAAAGAGTAAATCTCTTGGACAGAAAATGGATCCGATAATTCCCAAACACGATGCAGATTAATGAGGTCGTGATCAATGACAGCAGTTTAAACGATTTGTTGAACCAAGTTTCCTCTTTGTTCGAAAATAAGTTAAGAAAGCTGAAACACTTTAAAGCTTCCCTTAAGTCACAGGAGAACCCCAATATCAACGTTTATAAAGCAAGAACATTACCGTAAGCTATGCGTCCCAAAGTAGAACTACAACGGCTACAATGCGAAGGCGCAATCATGCCCGAACAACATTCGAATAGGGGTACCCCAATTGCTACTGTACTTAAACCCGACGGTACCAATCGTATCTATGGAGACTACAAGTTAACTGTCAATCAAGCTTCCAATGTGGAAAGGTATCCCTTGCCACGCATCAAAAATTTGTACGCAAGGTTATCCGGTGATCAAAAATTTTCTAAGCTTGATCTTAGTTTCGAGTTGAACTAGGTGAGGACTCACGCGAAGTAACCACCATAACTACACATCTTGGACTATTTCAGTATACTCGCCTTCCTTTCAGAATAAACTCCGCCCCAGCATTTTCCAGCGGATTGTGGATGACCTCGTGAAGGACATATCTCTTACTTGTGCTTATTTGGGTGATAGCCTGGTTTCTGGCCGCAGTGATGTTGAGCATTTAAAAACACTTCGGACGGTGTTTGAATGTTTGGAAATGAATGGATTATAACTAAAGAAGTCTCAATGTTTTTGTCTGAATCTTGTTGTCTTGTCTACAAACTTGATAAGAGAGGTCTGCATGTTTTGCAGGATAAAGTATCTCCAATAATATAGGCACCACAGCCTAAGAATAGTGATGAACTCCGATCATTCTTAGGAATGCTATTACACTATCGTCGTCTTTTACCGGGGGCAACAACTATCCTAACCCCTTTGAACGCACTACTACAGAAAAACACCCAAAGATTTTGGGATAGTGAGCATCAGTCCGCTTTCATTTGTACTTAAAACTGGCAGCATTAGGGCCAGTTTCAGTTCACTACGATAGAGAAAAGCCACTGATCACTCATTGTGATGTTTCTCCAAATTATTTCATTTGATGCAGTACCTGGACAATACCTCTTTGACAAGTGACGTCATACGTCGATGGACTTATCGGGGTCCCAAACTAGCCTCCGTGATACTTTTCACGAAACTGGGATGGTCTAGTAGAATTCTGGCTGATTTGAAACCATTTGGGCTTCGCAAATATGAGCTGAATATACACGACGGTTGCTTATTTTGGGGCTCACGTTTGGTGCCACGGCTGAAGGCGCACTCGTTCATTCTAAATTAACTTCACAATGGACATCCGGGTGTTGCCCGAATGAAAGCACTTGCACGCGGCTGTTACTGATGGCCCAGCTTAGATGCTGAAATTGGAAACTATTTGAACGTGTGTGATCTCTGCCAACAATACCCTTCGAATAAACATCCAAGACCAATACACCCTTGGCATTGGCCTGAAAAGTCATGGCAGCGTCTCCATACAGAGTATTTTGGTCCTTTGAAAGGAACATCTTTCCTGCTGATAGTCGATTCCTATTCGGAATGGATCGCTGTTTATCCAGTGTTCCAAACCACGGCTGAAACAACCATTTCAAAAATGCGATCATCGTTTGCAGTTTTCGGAATACCTGAAACTGTTTGCAGATAATGGGTCGTTTTACCAGTAAGGAGTTTGAGATCTTTATGCAGAGCAATGGTATTCGACACGTGCGTACAGCCCCAAATCATCCTGCGACAAATGGATTAGCCGAAAAGGCGGTGCAGACGGGAAAACTGGCCTGCTAAAGCAGTTATGGGGAACCATACAAACGCAATTAGATCGATTAGTTTTTGCCTACAAAATAACTTTGACAGAAGACACGGGTAGATCTCCAGCACAACTAATGTTCGGTAAAACACTCCGTCGCCTTCGAGTTGATCTCATAAGGACGTAGCGGATACTGCACCTGAGCCACTTCCCTATGTTGAGGCCGCTGCTGCAGGTGCGCGCACCAAGCAGCACACGTGGACACCGATACAAAGTAGCCGTACCGGATTTAAAGTGCATCTCTCATCCACTATGCTTCGAGCGTCGAGTTGTGAAATATTGGAACAAATTGCCGGAGACGCTAGTCGAGGCGAAATCGGTGTCGGAATTTAAAAGATCCTTTGACGCCCAGCTTGCGGACTACAGGTATAGGGAGCGTATCGCACTAGGATAAGACGTAGTGCAGCTGCAATATGCTTCCACCGCGCAGGATTCAGCGACGTGATTTCGCGGATGTGCCCGATCCATCTATGATGGCAACACAGATTTTTATCTTCACGATCTCTATTCTCAGTATTCTGTATTCTTCGTGTCATGCTTTAAATCGTGTGTCATGTGATTCATGCGCGCAGTTCTGGCCCGATACACTCTGCTTCGTACTGTGTCTTTTCCTACCTGGCTACGGTCTGGGGGCATGCTTTGGTTGACTTCGTTTCTACGTAATAGGGCATGCCGTTTTCGTAGATGGGGGCCGGGGACGGACCACACCAATGACTGGAGATTGTATCAGACATGGTGCAGCCAGTCGCGTTCTTGAATCTGGCTGTTTATTTTCATGCCATCCCGATTAGTTTGGTGCACTTCCTTTTTGATCCCATTTACCCTGCAACTTATTTGTATCAAATCTTATGTTCTTACCTTTGCTATGTAGTGTTATTCTGGCAAAATCAGTCTTGGCAATGGGGTCCACCGGACTTACATACCCGGACCATAGTTGTTTAACTTAACTGAACTGAATGAGAACTGGTTAGTAGCGTATTCTCGAGTTCAACATTGCTAACTTGCATAGGATAAGAGAAAGGCGCATTATGCATCGGTGATGGAAGTAGTGTCGTTAAACGGAGGGAGGGGTAAGGCTGTCCAGTGTGTTGAAGAATTTCCAATGAGTGATTCGAGAATGGTTCTTACCGTTGTGCTGCTCATCAATCTCAAGAGCTAGGACACTTAATAAAGAGTAGTACTGCTTCGCTGACATAAAACAATACATAACGGTAGGGGACCCTATTAATGAAGAGGAATAAAGAGATCATAAGAAAACGTAAAATATTCGCCCTCCAGCTAGAAGCAAAAGTAGCTTGATCTGGCCAAGAGAGTTGGTGTTCGGCCACATTCCGCACAAAGCAGTAGCTTGAGTGACGATGGAGGATGATAAACGTTATGTAGCTGCTGGTAAATAAGTCAAAGCGGTCTACTGTCATAAAGCATGGCTAGGTGGCTTAAGGCACTGCTTTGTGAGAAGATAAGCGCGGATCCGAAACCAGCACATTTCAAAAGACGCGGGGACTGATCGGTGATATCAAGAAAATGGAGCATCCCAGTGCTACCTTGGATGCATGGTGGCTATCTGACTCAGTCTAGTTGTGACGGATCTCCTCGAAAGAGCAGTAATTACAAACAAGAAATGGAATGTTAAGAAGAGATAAAGGGAAAAAGAGCTCCATATGCTATTGAACATCAAGATGGTATAATGTTAGAGCGTACCCGTCGAAGCGCTGAAGCGCCGTTGGAGGACTTTGTGCAAAAGCGGCTAGATCGGGTACCGGATCGGACAGGACGTAGCTTCAAACGAGCAGTAGGCGCATTGCCAAAAAGTGGGTAGGGTAATGCGTCGTCCTTGGAATGATTACTCCGTATAACAGATGAGACGTGGTTAGTCCTGGGCTCGAGGGAATCGAAGGTGTGATGATTTTTCGTCAGGAACCGTATGCAAGTGGGTTTCTGCGTGGAATCAACCAAATGGGCGGTTGTTTTATGCTCATGGAATACTGTGCCTGTGGGAGCAGCCAAGCGTGACTCCAATCGTAAAGACAAAGGTATATCTGTAAGAAGGAACATGATAAAATGTTGCGACGGTCCGATAACTTAGTTGTGGAGAGGAAAAGTACGTCGAACTGTCAACTGACATGATAATCATTAAAGAAGTAACCAACTCTTAGAATGGGGTTTGACAGACAGCTAAAGACGATATATGGGTAAAGCAAAGTAGCGAAGTAACTTTCAATAGTTGTGAACCACGGTAAGCAAGCACACATGAATCCGTTTACCTCCGGGAAGCGAAAGTTTGTGGTGAATGCATCCCGATAAAGGACGGGCGCAATGGAGAAGATCCGCGCTTTGAGGCTCCACAGATGGGAGTGTGACGGTTGATGTTGCTCCACAGCAAAGAATACATGGCCCAGTGTGGCCAGGAATGCAAGAGCATCGCATAGAAGCTTCAGTAGACGAGGAGCCTGGAAGAAAACTTAATGAAAAAGAAGTGATTACTTAGTTTCCGCAGTAACTGCTCACAGTTGGGGGAACCCAAATCATGGAAGGAGTGTCGTTTGGAAAGATGCTTTAAGAAAGGGTTTACTCGTGAGCAGGAAGCATCATCAAAGGTTGGTTGAACTGGAAACTCCGATTTCCATTTGCGATAGCTTGCCTTTGTTAATCGGAGGTTTCGCAGTATCTGTTTACTTCGTCTTATCTCGGATTGTAGCCAATACCAGTAAGAGTAGGTTACAGCTCTCGTGCATAACCATTGCTCTTCTAGGCTAAATAGTAATAGAGCAAGTTTAAACAAACAAACCTCGACATAGCGGGTGAACATGCCTCATCGTCCGTGCTACTTTCGGTTTCATCCTCTGTCAGTATACGAGAGATAGTTGAGGGAGTACCATCAGCAGAAGGATTGTCCAATCTGGGTGGGTTAAGTGCCACAAGTCGAGCCAGGAGAGCAGCTGATTTAGCACGGAGGTTCTTTAACCGTTCAGAACAAGCCTCAAGTCTTTGTCGATAAAGCGACCTTCGTACGAATAGATCACTTTGGTCGTCGTGCGACGAAATCAATGAGCCAGACTCGTAAGAATTGTTATCGTCATTGTCGATCTCGCCATGTGGGGAGTCCTTTAGTGCAGATAAGTTGAAAATAGCGCTTGGATGGCAGTGATTTGGCGGTGATTCATTAGTGAGAACTGCGGTTTTCGTTGGAAGTTCTGGTGCAATGCATTCATCAAGGTCGTGGATATCTTCAAGAGATGTAACCATGTGGGCCGAGTCCATTTCTGTTCTAGGAGGCATGGTTTTCTGACGGTTCTCTGTAGGACCACTAAATGCCGAAGTAAAGTACAGCTCGGGTGGATTGACAAAGAGGATGCCGTTGCAAGAGACAGTATCGCGATGGCTTAACACTTCATCATCGTTACAAGTGGCCATACAATGAATCGAATGTTCACATGCCTGTAAACAGGATGAACAAAGTAATGAGTATGGAGATAGTCAGGATACGAAAATTTTGGTAGCAGTCAGTTGTACACAAGATAAATGAGTGAACTGAGAAAGAGTAGTAGGGCAGCTGAATGGTACAAGTAGCTCACCACGCCTAGACTCAAGTAGATAACCAGACGCTCGAGAAAGGACTGTACGGCCGTTTCATCCTTTCGGGATACGTCAGCAGCGCGCATTCCACCCACAACTCAACTGTTAACAGTCCGTGATAAAGACCACTGGGCTACGCGGGACGGTAGCGACAGATATCACTAGTTTACAAGATGTGATATAGCGCCGCTCGCTATCCATCGACTTACGCCATATCACATCTATTAACTTAGGCACGTCGGTCGTTACCGTCCCGCGCGGCGCAATGGTAATCAGCAAGGACTGGTAGCGGTCCGATTGCAGGCTCTAGCTCCACAGGGGCCAGGTGAAATGTGCACTGCTAACGAATCCCGAAAAGGAAACGGCCATACAGTCCTTGCCCGTGTGTGGTGGCTGTCTATGTCTAGACAGGACGAACTTCTACATATGAGTAAATTAAAAGAATACTTACACGTCATCACAATGATGTTCATGTGTGCAAAAGAGAACAAAATCATAGCAGTGATGAATTGTCGACAAAGTTACGGCATACATGAACGCGCGAAGGTAAGTTCAAAACAGAGAGGTAGTGCTAAGTTTGCAAACAGCACTTTCAAACCACACAGTTTGACAAGACGAGTAAGAGCAAAAATTTCTAATACGACGATCGTCCGTAGCCTTAAGGATCACAAGCCCGAGGGCGCGGGTTCAAGTCTGCTTAGGGACCGGGCGACCCTCACAGTATCAGCAGCCCACGTGCGGCTGGTGGTAGTTGGGCGGCAGCGAAGCGCCGATACTACGTACCGGCGTACTGTTGATGCCTTTCTCTCTATTGTTTTCGGATACGAGAATGTTGCAACCAATGATAACAGATCAACTTGTTCTCATACAAAATTGTAAAAACCGCTCCCGGAGCCGCTCCTACGTCACTAGAACCAAAAAGCATCAAAGAGTAAATGGGAAACAGTGGATAATGGGAGCTGAGTCAATCTAGGGTTCGATCGAGAGCAAACAAAGGGCACCAAGACCGAGAAGCACACATGTGGAATGTAAAAATGTCTGCTAATTTAAGAGCGCGGGTTCGAACCTGCGTAGGGGACCAGCTGGCCTTCCCAGCATATATATATATATATATATATATATATATATATATGGTTGGCGGCATCCGGTTTCGGATTTACCTGTCACTGTGGCAAGCCACAGGACGCTTGCACCTACAGAGGGACCATGGATGGCTTGCGCTGCACCACCCACAGCTCCAACCACATACCCCATATCCAGTGTAAACCCGAAGGAATAAGACCGGGAGGCATGCGGATGGGAACCAAGTTTCATCAACGGAGCCGGCCCACACTCCTTCACAGGCAAACACAAGCACGCTGTATTTGGGGAATCCACCGCACACAAGGCGGTGGCTGGACCGTAGTCCGCTCCACACTGACTGCATGGAACCACTCTTCGAGCCTAACACGGCCACAAGGACCGTGCACCCCGTCCCCTCCAGCAACGACCAACTGTCTCCTGGAGCCAGTATGAACGATGTAGTGGGTAATAGACAGGTAGGCACCTTGTCAACATACACATCAAGCGCAACCATACCAGGGATATCAAACAACAGCCATTCACTTTAAACGACAAGCTGAAATTAAATAAATCCAATAATGCATACAGATACGGTGGCATAACTCTTCGCTAAATTACCATATGAAGTAAGTTGGTTAGCAACAAATCCGTGATAAGTAAGAAATGTCTACAAATTACTTAAAATGCTACAAACGCAACAAAATTGCCGAAGATAAGCGCAATTAGTGTAAGCAACGTGGCCAGTTAATAGAACATTATTCAGGGAGGTAGAACAAACCAAATAAAGCGGAGTGAAATTTAGCCAGCTTAAAAAGACCTCGTTTAAGTGTAAGTTGGTTTAGCCCAACTGCGGTGAAGGAGCATCAAGAATGCAACATCAGTCTCAGCATATATATATATATATATATATATATATATATATATATATATATAAGCAGCGCAATGATACTGGACCTTACCGTGGTGCAATGGTTTGCGTGCCTCAGTGACCCATTGTGCTGTGCTGGGTGGCGCTTTTCGCATCTTCAGTCACTAATACGAGATTGGTCAATGGTTAGACCAAGAGCCAGGTCAAATTACAAGTGAGGGTTGCTCCTTATCCCTTGAAACGAACCCCTCGTAGCCCCAAGCCAAACCCGTTACCTTGCGGTCAGATTTTTGAACCAAATGCTTTAACTGAGAACGCTAATCGTTCTCCTGTATGCGCCTGGGCAACCTGGAAGTGTTATGCCGCACAATACAACTATGAACTACTCTTTAAATGATTGCTTGATGCTCTGGCCGTCGCAGAGGATACTAAACGGCATACTATATGCTGCATGGAGCAGGATGTACAATAGTTTGGACGCTACTGCTCAAGCTTTCCCGTCTTCTTACACTTTTTCACCCTCATCGTCCCGTTCCAACTGCACTCTTATCCCTACCGTTTTTAACCCACCAATTCTTGGTCTTCCCCCACCATGCTTTGATAGGCGTTTACATTCTAGTTGCGACTCACATGCAAACGCGGTCACTCTTGTCCTATCAACAAGCACATGTCTAGGCAAGAGATCAAGCCCAGTGCATCGGCTTCTATTTGGAGCCCTTCATCCTCCCTCAGATTGACATGCCTAAACGTACGTACATTGCTACAGATTGGTCGACAGGCAACATTTGCCCGAACATTAGAGACCCTCTCGATCGATACCCGCTGCCTATCGCAAACCCGACTACAAGACCTGAGCTCTCTTCTCACTCTGCGATCCATTCAGGTGACATTAGCAGTACTTTCTCATTGCGCCTATCCGGAGACGATGCAGTTTAGAGTATCGATCAAGTCGGTGTTGGTATTGCCCTCAGTCCACGGACTGAAGTTGCTCTGGTTGATTGGATTCCAATCAGTAGGCGTATTAGTGCGATCCGACTGGCTGGATCGTTCAAAACTTTGAAGTCGCGGAGGACTAATATGTGTCTGATCGTCATCGCTGCCTACGCGCCCACAAACTGCAGCGATGACTAGGTAAAAGACGAGTTTTACTGTCAACTGAACGAGCTCCTTCAGTACAGACGAAGCACGGACACCTTAGTGCTTGCTGGGGATATAAACGCTCAAGCTGGAAAATTGTCCACTGATGAGGTGCATCTGGGCGGCCAACATGGTGTAGGCTCGCGTAATGATAACGGCGAGCGGTCACTTTATTTGTGTGAAGAAACTCCCTTATTTCTTGCGAGCACTAACTTCCGACACAGCACCCATCGGAAGGTGACATGGCGCCAACCAGCCATGGACGCAAATCGATCACATCGCGATCAGTTATTGCTGGAGTGGGTGCGCCCAAAGCTGTCGCTCAATTCGGCGCACAAGTGCGGACACTGACCAAGCACTTGTATGTGCTGATCTGCGGGTGTGCTTTGGCGGTCGCCCTAGACGACCCTGTGAGCGCATAGACACCAGCCAACAGGCGTATCGAAGTACGCTGGCGTTCGGTTTGAGCAAGCACTCACTGTATAGTTAAAAGTCACTGGTCGCATTTTTATCAGACCTTACTTGAAACATGTAAATCATCATGTGGCAAATGCACTAGCCAAAATAGACATTGGCTCTCTTCGCAGTCTCTGGAACTTATCGATGCTCTCTAGCACATTCTCATCATCATCATCATCAACAGCAGTACATCAGCCATTTGAACTGATGCTTCGCTGCCATACAACCATGAGGACCTACGAAATAAAGAATAAGAGGGAGAGAAGGGGGACTTACCTGAAAACCTTAATGCCCTAAGCAAACATTCAGGGTCAAGGCGCCTACACCTTGTGTAGACAACATACCGTCACAAACAACTGGCTATCGTGCAAAGATAAGGCGGCATCGGCGAGACAGCTTCCTTGCGGCTTTCACTACCACGCGTCATAATCAGCCATTACCCCGCAGATAACTAAGCACCAAACACACTTTAAACAGACAATCCGATTAGGAGACGGCAGCAGACGCGCCACTGGTGTCGGTTGCGAGCCATGTTCTGTAAAGTCTCGAGCCAAGCACAAGGTGTCACGTGGACTCCAACCCGGAAGGCGAGACGGACCAACGGCACCCAGTTTGGTCGTCAGTGACTTCATTTCCCGCTGCCAAGTCAACTTCTGTCCACCTCGAGCCTTGCGCCATCCGACACCTGGTAGACTGAACAAGGTCCTCCTAGGTAAGCGGTGAACAGGCATACGTAGCACGTGCCCGAGCCAACGCAACTTATTCAGTGCTATCTGTTGTTCTAGGGAGCTAGCATGATCATCACCACCTAGTACTCGCCTACGCACATCATCGTTACGGACACGCTGGTGCCATCCGACACCAGCAATGCTTCGCAGACAACGATCAAAGACTTGAAGGAGCCTCAGATCTTCAGACCGAAGGGGCCAAGTCTCACTACCATAGAGGGGGATGGCCCTCACTGTGACCTTGTATACACGGCCTTACAGACGGAGGGAAACTCCCTTCTGTCGCCAAAGATGACGCAGGTTCAAGAAGGCAGCTCTAGCCTTTGCAATGCGTGAGCTCACGTCAGTTTCTATGCGCCCATCATTGCTGATGCAGCTACCAAGATAAGTGAATTGATCAACCACCTCGAGTTCCTCGTTAGCAAGCGTCAAGGGGTCATCGAGTGGCTGGTGGTCCTGCAGCAACACTTTGCACTTTGAAGATGCGAAGCGCATACCAAATAATGGGACCACTCTGGATAGGCTATTCAGGGTTGATTGCGTCGCCTCAACATTGTCGAAAAGCAAGACGATATCGTCCGCATAATCTAGATCAACTAACCGTTCACCAGGCAGCACTTCAACACCTACATCGTGAGATTCCGCAAGGGAACACTCCATGATAGAATCCACGACGAAATTGAACAAAAATGGAGAAATCGGACAACCCTGTCGAACGCCACTTGTAGTCGAAAAGCTATCCGATAGAGCACCATAGACCCTGACGCGGCCTCTAGTGTTCGAGTATAGAGCACGAAGGATGTTCACATATTTCGTGGGAACACCTTTCCGCGCAAGTATTTCGAACAGAATCCACCGATCAACTGAATCGAACGCACTCATGAAATCGAGGAAAGCAGCTATTGTCGGCCTGCGGTATGCGTGGCGCTGCTCTAGAACCTTCCACAGAGTGAATATATAATCTATACAGCCACGTCCAGGGTGGAAACCTTCCTGCTCTTCCCCAATCAGAGCTTCCCGTTCTGCAGTGAGGCGACGAACGATAATCGAGGCCAGTAATTTTGTCACAACTGACTTTAGGCTAATACCCCTGTGGTTAGAACAGTCTGTGCGACTGCCCTTCTTGTATATTGCCACTATAATCGATTCGCTCCAATTAGCCGGCACACTCTCTTCGTTCCAGATACGTTCGAATAGGGAGGTCAGTGCTTTGCAGAGGACCTCACCTCCATCCTTAAATAGTGCAGGTGAGAGGGAATCCGGGCCAGTGGCACGAAAACGATTGAGGGCTGTGATCGCGTTTCGGACCTCGGCCTCCGACGGAGGCTCTAAACTAACCGTCCATGGCTCGTCCTGCATCACCTGAGTAGGAAGAGGTCCGGGAGCAGGGGGCCAGCTGAACTGATGTTCAAAGTGCTCAGCCCAACGAGCCTTATAGTGTATCAGCGCACCCGCGCTGTCCCTGATTGTCTCACTGACGCCTGGTTTTCTCGGACCAGTGGTGCGTATTAGCTGGAAGAGCTTCCGGTAATTGCCTACTGCTCCTGCCTCCTCCATTTCTTGAGCCCGACTGGTCCACCAGGCTTCCTTGTCAGCACGTAGGCTCCGCTTTAGTTCACGCCTAATAGCCCGTCTGGTCACATTGTGTTCAGAACCAGCCGGGAGGTGCCTTCTAGCATCCAAAAGGTTCACGGACCTCCCGGATATCCAGTGACTGGTGCGATGACGACTGATAGTGCCACAAGCAGATGCTCCTGCGTCGTGCATAGTGGCCGAGATCCTATTTCACTGAAGTTCAGTATCATTAGGACAAGACAGCGAGAGTTCGCTATGCAGTGCTTCTTGATAGGCTTGCCTGACAGAGGGCTGGGACAATTTCTCCGTTGCCAATCGGGGGAGACGCTTTGTGCGCCTTCCGGTAAAGTTCATGGAGAAAAGACAGCGCACCAAGGCATGGTCAGAGTCGACACAGGTACTCCAGTACGAGCGGCAATCCAGAATGGAACCGCGCCACCTGTAACTTATGGCTATGTGGTCAATTCGGGTCCATCGCTGACCAGCTACAGGTGGACGCCAAGTGGCACTTCGGCGCCCACTGTCTAAAAGCAGTGCTAGTAAGAAACAACTGGTGCTCCGCACACAGTTTCAGCAGACGCTCGCCGTTGTCAGTCCGTTCGGCGTTAAGTCCATACTTACCACCCAGCTGAGCTTCTGAAGAGCTCAGACGCCCTACTTGTGCGTTCATATCCCCTGCAAGTACTATAATATCTGAGCTCTATTCGCTCGTCAAGGACCTGGCTGGAAGCGACCGCGTGGTGGTCAGCCTTCCACTTGGCGGCAACACATGAAATCGCTGACGTCGTGTCTAGCCGCTGTTGGACCCGTACGTCTTCCAGGATGGGGACCCAAAGATGGCGAGTGCCAATGGCTTAGGACACTTGAAGACATGGCCCGCAACCGGAATCAATGGAAGAATTGTGTACAGTGTTGTGTTGATCCACATGTTTAATTCTACAAAAATTGAAAATGACAAAAAAAGAGAAAAACCGGCGTGTGACAAACAAACTAAAAATGTTTTGTTCTGTATTCTTGTCAAAATATTCCATTTTCTTGCGGCATATTAGCTGAAGTGTGTTGCCCACCTTCAGCTAGCATGCCATGACGATTATGACGCAATGACTGTCTCTTATACACTGATTTCCATGGTTTTCTTGGCTCTATGTCTAGTTACTAGACTGTTGAGATTACATACATACTATAATATCTGAACTAGTAGCACTGCGTAGCAGCGTGTTCAGTTCGTGAAAGTGTCCTTGACTGCATTAGAACTGCAGTCCGTGGGAGCATAAGCAGAAATCACAAACAAACAGCGTTTTGTTTTACTTCGCGAATTCACCTTAGCTGATGTCGTCAAACGGGCTGCACATAAACGGCTGTTCACCGGAATCCAACCAACCAGCGATGACTCAGCCTTGGAGCTGAGAATGATACCTACACCAGCTTGACCCGTGAGTGCCGCATCGGCGTCTCCGGATGCGTGCAACCAATAACGAGAGGATAAGCCGGGTGCAGTCAATTCAATAACCCCGTTAGGGTCATTAATCCTAGTTTCGGACACACAACACACATCAACACCCAGTGTGTCCAAGGTGCGTGCGAGTGCAGCCTGCTGACCTGTTTGTCTTAGAGTGCGAACGTTGAATGTCGCCATGGAAACGGGACAGCGTGGCCTTGTAAGGGACTTTTGCCGATAGGCGTCCGATAGGTGCTGTGGGATGGTGGCTGCAGATGGTTCTACTCCAGTAGCATTTCGGTTGCTGTCAATTAAGCTGGGAATTATAGAAGGAAGGTTAGTAATGGGGGCCGGGATGGGAGTAAGAGAAAAAGGTGGAAAAGAAAGAAGGGAGGCGCCAGCTGTAGCATCGTTTCGCTTATCCGCCCTGCTGTATGCAGCAGATAAGGCGACCCTTGATAATCTGCGCGACGGCCGATGCAGGATGAAGTTTATGTTTGAAGAAAATGTCATGGTTGTATGTGGGCTGGGATACTGCCAGGGCGCCCAGACGTAGACAGGAGAACGATTAGGGTCCTCATCCAAAGCCTTTGACTCAAAAGCCTGTCCGCAAGGCAGCGGGGTGGCAGTGATTTAGTTTTACAGAAATGGACGCCATCCCATTTCAAACCCCCAACCTGGAGGACCAGGAGACTGAGTTTGTATTACCTCTCACCATTGACCAACCTGGTAGGAGTAGCTCTCAAGATGCTCGAAGGCATCACCCAGTATAGCTCAATGGGTCAATGAGGTACGCAAACCGTCGCACCACGTTAAGGTCCAGTCTCGTTGCGACGGGGTCCAGTCTCGTAGCACATTCTGGCTGGAAGCGAACACAACGAGACTCGCATAGATATTAGGGCAAAACTCTGTGCTAGCCTGAAGGGAGGACGAGAACGTTGGTGGTCTCAGCGTGCATCATAGATGGAAGTAGTCGTTGCTCCTGATAACCATCGGAAGTTGTTCCGTCAGATACGTGAAACGGGCAGCAGGAGACCTCGTGTTAGTGAAATTATACGTGACGTGAGTGGACAGCTTATCCACAACTTGCCAAAACGTTAGGAGCGTTGGGCTGAGCATTTTGTAAAGCAATTTAATCGGCCGGAGTTGTTGGATTCCTCACCGACTAATGATCGCCCTGCTCCCTGGGCTGGCCCTTCGGATCCGCACACTCACTCAGTAATCGAAGGTGAGATCGGATTGCTGAAGTTGAATAAAGCCGCGGGACCAGATGATCTTCATGCAGCCCTCTTCAAATTCGGGGGACGGGGGTTGCTGTTGTTGATGATGATTTACAAGAATTAGTAGTGAAACTGTGGGAGCAGGAAACTACCCCAACCGACTGGAGCCGCATCGTTATTGTCGCGATCTTCATGGGAGGAACGCGTTCGGAATGCGACAACCATAGAGGAATCAGTTCGATCCCCATCACCACCAAATTACTTGCTTCTGTAATCCTTCACAGACTGTCTGGCGCTCGTATAAGCCAGATTCGTGAGGAGCAAGCCAGGTTTCGTCATGGTCATGGCTGCATCGACCATATATTCACCTAACGTCAGTCGTTGGAGTATCGTCACATATATTGGCGGCCCAGTGCTGTCGTGTTCCTCGAAATCAAAGATGCATTCGATGCAGTGGATCCAGGTGACCTTTGGGACTGTCTACTCAGGAAAGCTGTTCCCGAGAAATATGTAAATATTATCCGGGCGTTTTACGTGCGCAGGTCGGGCAAAGTGGGGGCTTACAGCAGGCTGTCGCCGCCCTTCAATATCTCCAATGGTGTGACCTTTCCTCTTCAACTTCGTTATGAAAATCGCGTTCACAGGACAGGACTTAGAAGATGCAGAGCTGCTTCCAGGTAAAGGACTTCCTGATTAGGAGTATGCTGACGATATTGAGCTCATATGTGACAGCTCACAAACGTGCCAAGCTGCACTGGACAAAGTGGCATTGGCTGTCAGCCGTTTCGGGCTATGCTCTGAACTCCAGAAGTGTAAAGCATTCCTCCAAGATTGGCAGGGGCCACCA